TTGTAAATTACGGATACAAAAAGCTGCTTTTTAAGTGTTTATACTTAAGCCCACTTTTTAATTCGTACATCTTAAACGTGACGTTTGTTTTTTGCTTTTTAGGATGTATTTTGTGTTTAAATATGATTTAGTATAGAAAAACCATTATTTTCTGCGATATGCAGTAAAAATTTTGTAGTGCTGTACTTTCAAGTAGTAAAATTCGAAAAGCGTTTTTTTTTTCAATATTATAATTTAACAAATTTGTGTGATACATTCTATAAAAATCAATTTTCTTTTCTGTATCAATTTTCCTGTATTTTGCTACCATTTCTTACGTTTCTGAAAAAAAATGTAAAATCACGTTTTGATATATGCCTACTTTGAAAGAAACTTTAACTGAATATTTTTGCATCTTTAAAACATGTCCACTTCTTAATTCAGCTTTACATTCATAATATTTTAAAGACTAACGAAGGTTAAATATGTTGTGTGCTTTTTAGATAAATATATGAAGCGTCAAATATAAATTGGTCATCATTGGATATGAAATTGTAAAAAAAATCTGCACCGACTTAAGTACAATCATTTGCAGTATAATATACTTTGTGAAAAAAATTTTACTCTTTCATTCAGTACCCTTCCATTTGGAAGACAGGAAAGATTGGCTACATAAAAAATTGCAATATTTTTTTAAATGCATTTTCCAGTCCATTTCACCAATCAATTTTTTTGTAATTTAAATTTTAAATTTCAAAAAAATATGGAATCAGTAGAGCTAAAAATATTAATCAATCGCCTTCACACAAATAATTTCCATTTAAACTCCATATAAATTTAAAATTTATTTTTGTTTTACTATCTGGGCTTGGTTACTTGATAGATTAATGCATTAGAATATTATGAAAGACAATATATGCAAGATTTTCATTTTGTTGAGTTTTCGTTTTAACACCATGTATTATCTTTTGTGTATACTAACATAAAAATTTTTTGAACGAATTTCAAAATTATTATTATTTGATTATTATTTATTAAGAATACTAGCATACCGAATACAATTATTGACAATCGTAAGCGGTATTTCTCATAAAACTTTTCTATACAGAATTATTAAAATTTGAGCATCGGTAAAAGATAAATTATATTTCTCTTTCATAATCATATACCAAAATTTATCAATTATTAAATAATAATATTAAAAATTTATTTGCGTGAATACCAAAAAGTAAAACTATTGACACCCTGGTATAATTATTGATTTGGTTTAATGGTACAATTATTGATACCCAAATATAGCTGTATGGTATAAATGTACAATTATTGCAATATTTTTATGAGAGAATGATAGAAAATGCAATTCAAATAAAAATAATAGGTTCATTGCAGCAATTCCAATAAATACACACTTAAATATTTTTTAATAGCAGTTAAAATTTACTCTAAGTTCATTAATTATAAACTAAAATAAGGAAAATATAAATTAAATTTATAAATAAACGGAAACTCCATTGTAATAGATAATCATATTTATAAACTACAAATTTCTGCTAGCAATTTTGTTTTGATTTCGTGTATATGAAATATTTCATCAATTACGGAATTAAATATAAATTGGTAATATCTACTATATTCAATTGAAAAAATTTTTTTAATATTAGTGAATGTTAAGAAAATTATTCAGACTTTTTGTAATAAAATGCAGAATAAGATAAAATGCTGTAGTAGCTGTGTATACAAATTTTCGTTTTTTTTTTTATATTTTTATAGCTTTGAAAAAGTTCGTTCATTTTTTTACTTATTATTTTTTTATTTTTTTAATCTACAATCTAGCTGACACTACTCAACTTACGTTTTGAATTTGAAAAACTCATACATCCCTCATCACTAATATTCAAAACCATTGTGAATATGAACATTTTTTCATTTTTCTTTCCGTTTGCCCTTTTTTTCGTTCAAAAGAACTTAAAAGGGAAGCTTTTTAAATAATATCGTGAGATTTTTTAGAAAATTAAACTCTCTTTTATTTAAAAGAAAACAATAATATGAAATATGACATTATTCAACGAATTGAATATACTAAAGAAAGGACATTCTTCTTTTAGGATGAAACGAAAAATGAACCCAAATATTTTTTTGTTTTAAAAAGACAATGAAATCAAATATTTCTAGTTGTCTCTTTCTTTGTTCCAAGCATTGTCAAACTCGTAACAGGAGCGTGTTTATTTTATTTTTTTATCTGGCCTTCTCTGTGAATGTGTAATTTGTAGTTTAAAAATTTGTTTAAAAAATAAAACGACCCCAAAACTATGTGTTTTTTAACAAATTTTAATTAATATTATGATTATTACTCACAAAACGGTCGGTATATTATCGTATGGTTTTTCATTAATTAACTTAACTTCACATATTTATTCAATCTAAAACAATTTATTTTATAAATAATTCACACTAGTATTATATTTTTGAAATAATTCACACTTATTTTTGAATATAATACTAGTATGAATTATTCTCACTAGTATTATATTTTAAAATCAAAACACATTTACAATCAAAATGTTATGAACATATGTATAGTACTATTTGATAAAATCTTTGAAATGAAATTCAGTTCACTTTTTTTTTATGTATATCATCATATCTAGGAAAACTATAAATATATAAAAAATCTTAATATTATATTACATTTTATTAAACACAAAATAACTTTGCTTAAGAAAAAAATTCGCTCCTGGCAAAATTATGTCATCCGAAGTAATTTTACTTTAACAAAAAACAAATGTTTTCTTTCCAAAATTAAAAGAAATTTCTTCCCAAAATTAAAAACTTAATAAATTTACGAATTATGAATTTTACTACAATTTCTATTGAATACAGTATTTCTTTTAATTATTAAAATAAATAATATTACATGCATATGGTGCATAAAGCATCCGTTTTTTCAAACGAGAATAATAATTTGGAACTATGCACCTTTTCCTCTTTCCAAACAAATTTGTTTGTTTTTCGGTTTGTTTTATTTTTTTACAAGTTTATATTAACCTGTTAAGATCTGCATATATATGTATGTGTCAATTTCAAAAGTTAATTTTTAGCACTTTTCCAAAAATTTTTTTGAAAAAAGTGCTTATTAGTTTCACTCTGTCCGTCCGTCAGTCCGTCCGTCCGTCCGTCCGTCCGTGGACACTTTTTTGTTTACAAAACTTCTACACCCTTGAAGATAGAAAGCTGAAATTTCATATGTACATAGATCTTCACTAGAAACTTATTTCCGTAGAACAAAATTTTTACCTATCTCCCCCCCTCTAGAAGTTATACCCCCCCAAAACCTTAAAATTGGCCTTTTTAGCACTTTTCCAAAAATTTTTTTGAAAAAAGTGCTTATTAGTTTCACTCTGTCCGTCCGTCCGTCCGTCCGTCCGTCCGTGGACACTTTTTTTGTTTACAAAACTTCTACACCCTTTAAGATAGAAAGCTGAAATTTCATACGTACATAGATCTTCACTAGAAACTTATTTCCGTAGAACAAAATTTTTACCTATCTCCCCCCCTATAGAAGTTATACCCCCCCAAAACCCTAAAAATGGCCTTTTTTAAATATTTGTTGCAATGAAACCATAAGCATTTTTGAAATTTTTCAAACGCACAAAGGCAGTTGGTTCCTTCCTCTAGCGCGGTATACTATAGTTAAACTTTAGAAAAACAAAATGGCCGTCGAAATTTACCGTTATCTAAAGTCCTTTTTTTCAAATTTTTGATGTCGTTTTTTTTCTAGACCCCAGCCTGTAGAAGCTTAAAATTTTAGGAGCTTTTAGACATTAACAAATAGTTCATTTCATTAGAAGAAAATTTTTTTCCATCTCCACCCCCTCTCTAGTTATCGCCTCTTGAAATTTGTAAAATTTGAATTTTTGACACCTTATATTTCCGAAACCGCAAGTTTTTTCAAATTTTTATAAACGCAAAAAGCTAACGGTAAATTCCATGAAACTAAAAAATATAATTATTTTTCTTAACTCACACAATTAACCCTTAAAATCGAGTATTATGTTAACCCCACTTTATACTAATTTTTGCTTTAGTTCAAAGACTGCATATATGCGTCATCCTAAATATAGGCAATCCTAGAAATAGTTTTATATATGAATGAAAATAGTTTTAATAGTGTGATGGGTATGCATAGACTGTATTTAAAAGCAGAATTTTCACTTGTTGAAGGGAAAAGTGCTACAATACAAACCATTGGTTTGACCCAACTTTATTTAGTTAATGTCGTGTATGTGCGTCATGCCGAAAAAGAAAATTGCATTTGCTATGTAATTTCAAGTTAAGCAAAAAACGAAAATTTCCCTGTTAATAAAATTTGGTAAATACGCGTCTTCGCTTGAAATTAATTCAGCATAGTAAATCGAGCTGTCTAAGGAAAACTAATCACTTAGCAGGTTAAATAATAGTAAATTTTTCATTCACAAACTACCCTAATTTTTAAAAAAAAATCACAAAAATTTCTTTGTTTACTCTTTTCACCAGCGTCGCTTACTTTCCCCAGAAAAAAAAACAACATTTGGTGTTTAATGTCAATTTCAATTTGCCAAAACTTGAAAAAAGGAAAGAAAAACTTACCTGAAATTTTTGGCTTCAATTTGTATTTATTTAGATACAATTTTTTAGGAAGTGCAACCGATATAAAAACAAAGATGCTCCTTCCTTTAGCATTTCTAATTCTTTGGCACTATCAATAGAATTTAAAAACAACAAAAACGAAGACAATACAATCGGAATACTTCGTAAAAAAATTGAGCATTGGGACTTGTTAGATTATAAAGACATTAGTTTACACATAGGGAGTATATAGCGAAGAAATACTACGCGTTATAAAATTGCCCAAAATTAGTTTTGTATTCAAGCTTCTTTTCGGTTTTCTTCGTTTTCAAAGTTATTTCAGTATAATTAACATTAAATTAAGATAAAAAAATGATACATATTTATTACTTATTTCTTTTGATTTTTCATTTCAGGGTTCTGTGGCGGCAAAAAAGAATTTAATTGCCTAAATAATTGTTTTTCCCTCAATTGTATTTCCTACACAAAGTTGCAAGCTTTTAGATGATTGTTGAATACAAATTATATTTGAGTTATAATAAATTTAATGGACTGGTAATCGGTTTATAAATTGTAAACGTTTATTCTAAACATAAAAAGTGTGTAATGAAGTAAGTTAATATTATAGGTATGTAAGACAAAAATTAAAAAAACTACAATTATTATTTATAGACACCTTTTTTTTAAAGCTTAAAGTTTTTGTTATAATAAAACATATTATTTAAATATAGATATAGTTCAATTCGTTCGAATACAATTTGTAAATTGTTTACTTTCGTTATTGTTAACTTTAAATACGTCACAACTGTGTTAATTTAGTGTGCCCCGTTAAAAATTTTCAAATATTTAAAATTTCTGGTCTAGTTGAAATATAATTTTGGAAGTGATTATTTTGGTTCGGAATAAACAAGCTTAAAACTTTAATTAATACAATTTATAGTAATGTTAATTATTTATACATTATTTATTATTTGCAATATACATACATTTATATATTATGATTATTTTATAATATAAAAACCATGCATTTATAACATTGTGATTGTTCGAAATTAAAATATTGAAACCACTCTTACAATAATCTTCAATTTGACTATATTTGATATCCAGTTAGCTTAAATGAATTGCCAAAGTACAATATGTATTTGTTAATTCTACATTAAGTCGACATTTAGTTTAATTTTGTTTTCTATAAGTATGCATACAAAAATGTACAGTAAAAAACATTTAATTAAAAATTAGTACGTATAAACCCGAGAAAGAAAACAATGTTTATTTTATGGCTTGTATGTATGTATATGAGTTAAAAAAATAAATATTATGATCTATAATTTTTAATAACATTATTATTTAAATCATATTATGCAATAATTAAATAAAAAATCCAATTATAATAAATCTGTCAAAAGGAAAATAAATACATGTATTATATTTCAAGTATTTGCAAATTATAATTACTTAAATTAAGTTACAATATAAGCAACATACATTACTTGTGAATAAAATGGTTAAGAAAATAATTTTACTTCTTTTTTAAAATAGGTACATATATTCATAAATATAATCGTTAATTAAGAATAAAAACAGATTTGGTAAGTTTCATACTTTTTTTAATCCAATATTTATTAAAATTGTTCGTTTAATACCCCTATTGAGAATATTCCGATGGAACATTTTCTGAAGAAATTACGAGCATTGTAAAATGCATTCGGAATCGATATAAACTTTTTTCTTCAAAGAAAATTCTAAAAAGCTTTTTGCAAATTTTTGTATTTTGAAACTATAACTTTTGAATTTTTGTATTTTGAATATTAATTTCATCGATTTTGAATATCAATCACGTTTTCTTTTGAAATTTCTCAGAATAAAAGTTTTGTTCGTAGTTTTAAATTTTTAGGGTGAAACTGAAAAATAATGTAAGTATTTATTTTATTATACAAAAAGGATGTTTGTTTATGATGATTATCTTAATATTTTTAAAATACATATATGCACTATAATATTTATTTGTTTTTTTTAATATATGTATTACAAAATTATTTCTTTCATTGCTATTCTTACATCCAATCATCTAATTCATCTTTCTTTCAACCCGGATATCTCTAATCAAACTTCCACGTTAATGAATTGTTAAATTAACGTCCACTATTTAAAATTTAAATTTTCACAATAGACGTTCACATACATACGAGTCATTCTACGGAAACTTACCAAAAGTGAATAAAATTTTGCAAAAACGAAAATGCGTTTTTCCCGATTTAAAGTAAGCTTTAAAAGGTTACTTATAGCATTTTAAGACCTTATCCAAAAAGGTTCACCTCATTTTTTCAATCCTAAGAGAATTATAACGGAATTTAAAAATGATACGCTAATGAAGTTTTCAATTTTATCAAAGTTTTCAATTTGTTAAATTGAAAACTTTATTGAAATTGAAATCGAGACATAAATTGAAAAGTAAAAAAACTTTAAATGAAGATAGTAGAATCAAAACGCATACATTTGCAGATTTTTTGAGTAAAATGGAAAATAAACGTTTATTGAGCACTCATATTTCAAATTATGTTATTTTTACTCGTGAAAAAAACGAACTTTAACATTTCTGTAAAGAAATAATAAAGATAAACAAGACATTTTGAACAAAAAACGTAATTGAAGAAAGCAAATGTGGGGTTTTTTTGCAATTATATAAATTGTATATAATAATAAAGAATTATAATAATATGTATATAAATTTAATAAGTAAGTTGCAAATAATGATTTTTGTTGCCATAATTTTGATCAGAAACAAAAGCAAAAATGTTTTTAAGGTCAATTTTATTCAGTTGTATTTAAATTAAACAATAATATAAATTGAATTTTGGTTATGGTATATAAAAAACTGTAAAAAATTGTAACTTTTTCTAATGTTGTCAGAGATTATAAATTTGTTCTGAGCTTGTTTGATAAGAAAGTTAAGTATGAATAATATATTTTAAATGCCAGTATAGCTTTATTTGGTTAAGTATAGCAGAATTATAAATGAGTAAGTTTTCTGTTGTAAAATGAGCTTAATATTTAGTTCCATTCACAACATAATCTACAAATTTTGAAAGTACTACACCGTTACATGAAAAATATTATAATTCTTTAAATGTTAAGTCTACAGTGCTTTGGCAACAGGATAATTGAGTAATTAGTAATTTTAGAGAATTCAGTAGAAAGCTGATAAGAGTTTCAAGGAAAATTTTCAATAAAAAATTTGACACTGTACATTGTACTCTATTTTGTATTTTAGATACTTTTATAAAATTTTTAGATATTTTTCGTAAAAAAATCAAAATACTTCGAAAACTGAACTCGGCCGATTGAACATTTTTTCACATTTAAGAAACTAATTGAACATAAATAGAATGTAAATAGATCAACGGTCATTCTGATTCCATTTCGATTCAAGATTTATTCAAGATTTTGCGGTTAGTAAAAAGGACTTCAAAAATATTAAACGCATTCTTATACCAATCGTGTTTTTAGCTTTTTTCATGCTAAAATTCTAAAAAAATATAAATTTTATAATAGAGGAGAATCATTTGCAAAATCCATTGCTAAAGAAGCGTTATTTGAATTGCTGAATAAAATTAAAATTTTTTTAACTTAATGGAAATTTCTTCATGCAACTGCAGAACAGATGGATGACGTAATCAAAGGAACGAGTTAAAGGCAGAAAAATTCATTAAAAAATTTTTCTCCTCGAACTGGACTCGAACCAGTGACCTACCGCTTTCTAGGCAGACGCTCTACCAACTGAGCCACAGAGGCATGAAAAAATTGCCGACGAAATGTCCTCTACATTGCTTTATACTGTAATTCACATGATTACTAAGTATTTGTTTTGTTTACATTGATTGCTACATACAATCTACTATTGAAACACACAATAACAAGAACATATGTATATTTATAGGATTGTGCCTATTCCACTAATTATATTATGAATTTTACTAATACAACATCATAGTTGCGGAATTAATAAGAATGTGCTTATTACACTAATAATTTAACTTAATGGAAATTTCTTCATGCAACAGATGGATGATGGCAGAACAGATGGATGACGTAATCAAAGAAACGAGTCAAAGGCAGAAAAATTCAATAAAAAATTTTTCTCCTCGAACTGGACTCGATTCATTAATTATATACAATTGTTTTTTTTAATATGTCAGGCCTCGGGAAATACACTTTTTAGCGGGCCTGTTCTACACTTTTGATCATTATAAAGAAAATATTTAACAGGTTTACTTGAAATTTCATATATAAAATTCGCTCAGCCGTCCGCGAAATCACCTAACTTTTGGAAGAAATCAGTCGTCAGCAACTGGATGTTTACTACCGACCAAATACACATTTTTGCGTATATAAAGAGAAATAATCAACCGATTTAATTAAATTTAATATTTAAATTCTTCGTTTTAACACAATGAACACATAAATTTTCAACAACTCGGACAAATCAGGGCTTGGAAACTAATCTGAGGGCCGATTTTACATTTCTCGCCATATCTACGGAACGAATTGATGGAATTTCTTGAAATTTGATATTTGAGTTCTGGTTGTTACCAAAACTAACTGGCGAACATTTCCAGGAATTCAGATAGCACAAAGTGAAACTCTACTAAGAGTCAAATTTACATTTTTCTAGGTAAGTTAACTATAAGCTTACTAATGTCCTAAAAATTGGAAAGAAGTATTTAACAGGCATTTGTATAATATTCTGTAATACTTTCACTTAACAGACAATACACATTGCGGTCGGTTATGTTCTGACCATATCAGATTTTTTGTTTACTACTTCCCTTCCGCAAAAAATAGAAGCTTCAAATAAACGATTTTTGGAAGGACTAGTACAGGGCATGAAAGCAACATATGACTTTATTTGCATTTTATTTACTTTCAGAATACCAAGCATTTAAATTTTGGAGAAATATAATTTTTTCTTTATTTTAAATTTTTAGTTTTTTCTGACTGAATAATTTCGTACAATTTTTTTTAAACTTCGAAATTTTTATTTACAAAATTTTCTCCAGTTGCATAAGCTTTAATTTAAGTCATTAAATGTTATAAAATCTGTTATAGTACAGGATATATAGCACAGAAACCATTTCTATGTCAAGATTTTAAAGGTCCCAGTAATATTATTCAATTTTTATTAATTTCTATTTAATGTAAATAGAAAACATTTAGTAAATTTTGGAAAATTTGATTGGTCCATTATTTAAAATAATATCAATTTTGTTTTTCCTAATGCAGGTTTTCTTTTTTTATTTTCAAGTCATCTATTATGTTTTTGATATTTCTTAACTTTATTTTTTGAGTATATTAAATTCCTTTTTTCATTTTCAATAGCTTTCTTGAACGTTGCTTCCTATTTCTAGCATGAATTCGTTTCGATATGTCATGCTGATGATTTTCTTGGATTTCTGAAGATTTTTCATCGCTATTTGGTGGAGTTTTTAGTCTTAACTAATTTGATGGAGTCTTAGTCTTAATTAAAACGCTGTAGATTTTTTTATTTTGTTGTAAGCTGTAAATTTTTTGCTTCAAGTTTTTTTTAAGGATCAGTGCTCTCGAATTTTTCTTTCGTACCATCTTGTGATATATGAAATTCTACTTCATTAATTAAAAGTATTTTAATTAGTTTAACATTTAATTTAGCATTTGATGATAGTAGAATCAAAACCCATATATTTGCAAAATTTAAAAAAATTAAACTAATGATGAGGTTTTATTCCTCTTGTGAAAATACACATTTTGCTATCATAAACATGTTGCAAACCTTTGCTATTTCACTAAAAAAAAGCGATTAAAAAGTGTTGTAAAATCAAAACCCTACATTTGAATGTAATTAAATGTATCAAAAACCTTTATTTACACAAAAAATTTTTTGTAACAAAATCCCATGTTTGTTTGGAATGTAGTATTAATAGCCGTAGTATTAGTAGAGAATATGTAATTTATTCGCAAGCCATTTTATGGCTTTAGCAAATTAATAATATGACTTGTGTATAACTTTCAAATGTTTATGCTAGTTCTAGTTTTTAAACAAAAAAAAACGATTGGTATAAAAATGCGTTTAATATTTTGAAGTCCTTGTACTAACCGTAGAAATAAATGTTGAATTAAAATGGAATCGAAATAAACGTTGTTCTATTTACATTCTATTTACATTCAATTAGTTTCTTAGATGTGATAAGAAATGTTAAATCGACCCCTGGTTCAGTTTTCGAAGTATTTTAATTTGTTTATGAAAAATATCTAAAATTTTTATAAAAGTACTAAAATACGAAATGTTAGTTTCTACAATGCAATGTTAGTTTCAAATTTTATTAAACATTTTCCTTGAAGCTCTTTTCAGCTTTCTATTTAAGTCTCTAAAATTACTTATTATTCAATGACCCTGTTGGCAAAGTACTGTAGACTTAAAAACACAAAATTATAATAT